GCGCTTTACTATACAAAAATTACTCCAAACATCCATCGAAATCTGCCGAAATATACCGAAATCCACCAAAAGAAATATACATAAATCTGCTAAAAATCCACCGAAATCCAGTGAAATGTACCGAAATCCACCGAAAGAAATTTACCGAAATCTACTAAAATCCTCCGAAATCCATTGAAATCCTCCGAAATCTACCGAATTCCACCGCAATCGACTGCCTACCCCGGTAGTTAACCCTATATCGTATAATTTTGTAATGACATGCCATTTATGGGCTCTGAGAATTCAGTGAGGTCTAAGCGAAGCAGGCAGCAATTTATGGGCTTAGTCCCTTGAATGACCCTCCCTCATGCCTGCAGGAACAGAGCTCAGAGGCGCTTTGTAGAGCAGCTATAAAGGCAAACATATACCTTCATAACAATGAGGTGCAATCAACTGATAAGTTAGCAGAGCTAGCACCACTGCTAAAATGTTTCAAAGACAAGGCTAGGGCTACTCCCAAATCTGAAATGCTTTCAGTGGATGAGCAGATTGTGCCATTCAAGGGTAAATCTTCTCTAAAGCAATACAATTCCTCAAAACCCAATAAGTGGGGATACAAGATCTTAAATTGTTATGCCAGGAAAAGATGGGCTGATCCATGATCTAGATGCGTACCTGACTTAGGTGCCTCTGGAAGGCAAACATTCGCAGTATCGGGATTACAGATTCGAGATGCATGGAACCCCAAGGGCGCTAGGAATAAGACGCTTTTGCTTGAAAGTCACAATGGTATTAAGACTGTTTACATTCATGAGGGAACACATGTTTTGCAGCAAAGAACAAAGAAATAGAATGACCATTAATGAAAAATTGCACCCTCAGCCTAGCCCCTCTGCCATTTCAGTACTGCACAGGTACTACACGAAGCATTCATGCTCAACAGAGTATTGAAAAAAGAGTGTCCTGGTTAGACGTTACAGATGGCCCCAAGATAGCAGTTTATGAATACAAAGCGATAGATTCTCAAGCAAGACCATACTTTTTAGCTAAATTAAACTTGAACGGTGACTGTGTACGCATTAAACCACACATAATGACAAACATGAAATAAGATTTAAAATTTAAAAAATACGCGCCATAGGGTACCGCGAAGGTGATGATTTTTATGGACCGAGAAATAAGAAACAAGTGTATAATACCAAAGTTGCTGTGACCAAAAAAAAAAGGAAAATCCAATTAGCAAGGCAAATTTTGCCGACCTGGTGATTGATGTGGAAGAATTGCAGCAAAAAAACCCATTCGTTAGGTTGATCATCAGACAAAGTCAAAAGGTTCCTTGCCTAATTTTGAACAGTACACCGATGAGCAAATTTCTGACGTGAAAATAATTATGTTGCTGTCCCCCACTTTCCGCAGTCAACTGTTCTGGGGGTTGATAAAACTTTTTATCTAAGCGACGTGTCACGTGACAACATTTTTAAAAAACATTTCTGTTGTCAAACGGGATTCAGGTGGCCATCCCGTGTTTCTTGGTCCCATTTTCCTTCATGGGAATTCCGATCTGAAACATTCTTTCTTTTCTTTTTTTTCATCACTTGGCGGGCGTTCTTTGTAAGGAACCATCAACACCAACTCCGAGCTATGGAAAAAGGGTTCCAGAGTGATAGATTCTCCTGCAGAAGGCACTTGCAAAACAACTTACTCGCTTTCCTGACTAACAAAGTCGGCCTTTCTAAAAAAAAGAATGAAATACGATCGTTAGTTCTTTTTTTGAAATGGTTGGCACGGCAGACAACCGCACAGAGTTGTCTGACAGGCTTCAGCTCTATAATATGTACAGAGAGTTTGCCCTCACAAGTGTCCGCATACGTCAGGAGAAAAATCATGCCACACCTATTAAGTAACATAAAGGCCTCTGCTTGCCGTGGCTTGACTAATGTTTCACCATTATGGACTTACAATAACTGAGAGCTTAAACCATTGCTTAAAGCAAGCTTCTCAGGGGAAAGCCCTCAAACTTGTAGAGCTGATCCTGAAGTTAGTAGAGGATTTAGTCCTGGCTCAATATAGGGAGCTAAGAATTAGAGTCCTTGTTGGTCTCGGAGAGTTTAAACTCGACAAGACAAGACGTTTATCTCTAACCAGGTTGCCAGAGACGACTGGTTTGCCATGGATTTTAAAAATAATAATATTCATAAAGTTTCTCACGGCACCAAGAGAGTCATCATGCCTGGTAAGATCAAGCCAGTCAAGACCAATGCTGCAACTTGCACACAGAGGGAAGGAGCCTGGTCAATGAAAAAGAAAGCGATAAGAAAAAACTACCTCTCATTCGAAGCAACAACCCAAACTGGAGTGATGATTGATTTATGGCAGTTTGTATTGAGTCTCAGTTGTTTATTTCTTGTATATGAGCAAGTGTAGTGTCACTGTCTTCTTTTGGATCATAATGTATGATGTAACTTATGTAACAATGTATGATTAGATGCATTGAATCCAGTGAGAGTTTTGTATTGTGCTATTACGGCACTCTACGGCGAGAGTGTAACTTTTTAAAAACCAATAAGTCTCCCACTCCGGAGTACTATATACTCCACAACGTTCAAGACTTTGAATGAACTTTGGTGACTCCAACATCCGCAGGACTCACAGGATGACGAGTGATGCGAACATGCGCAGGTTCTCTGACCGGTCACGTTGGTGAGCCCGACACAAGCTGAAAATCAGACTACGTTTGATTTGATTTGATTTGATTTTTTTTTTTCCATAAGTGACAGCAATAGATTTATTTTCATGGCCACACGTACAGTGTTTCTAATTCACAACCTGCATATGTCACAAATGTTGCGTTATCAGACCGGGAAAAGCCGAATTGAATAACTCAATAGCGACCAGCAAAAATGAACTTGCTGACCTTATCGGATTTTGTTTTCAAATATTCGAGAACTTTATGTATTTTCCCAGGTCATTCCCGGGGCAAATTACAGATTTCCTCAAATTCACGGGGCATTCATGGGTCTCGGCGATTCTTTTCAAATTCCCGGGGCCTGACGGTCACCCTGTCAAGAGGTACAAGTGACAGGGCAGTTTCTTCAGACTGCACCGAACCTGATGGAGTCAGTCTTTATATTGATCTATCGCATTGAAGTCAAGAACTACAAACCAGGCTTTCTGAATGCATTAATTATGTACGCTAAATTGCTGTCAAATGGGCACTCATGTTAGCAACTGATCACAACACTGCCCACGCCCCTGCAGGGGGGGGGGGGGGCATAGTTTTACTATGGGGGAGTAAAGAATACACCTGCCGTGATACTGCGTGTCGTAAGAGGCGACTAAAGGTGCATAGGTCTGGCCACCTGAAAAATGACAGTTTGCGGAGGGCCAACTACCCGACCCAGTAAAAAAAGAAAGTTATAGAAACACGAACAAACATACCTTATAATTTTTTCATCTTGGGAGACGGAGCTTCTGCATCAGCAGGAACAATGAAGGACAGCGGACAAAGCCGAAAGGACTCTTCTGACCCGAAACCTTCTCTGTCGAACAAGTCTCTCCGGATTGCGTCGTGGAATGTTCGCACCATGTAGGAAGCAGGAAAAGATACAGGCTGCACATACTAGGAGTCAGCGAAACCCACTGGGTACAGTCTGGACAGAAGCAGCTCAGCTCGGGAAATGAAGCTCAGTCCAAACGATGGGTAGAGCATTTCAACAGTCTCCTGAACAGACCACCACCGAGTAACCCACCAAACATCCTGCCAGCAAGAAATGAGTTACCAATCTGCTGTGATGGTCCTTCAAAACAAGAGATTCTGGATGCCATTAAGAAGTGTTAGATTGGAACCCACAGGGTAAAAAGATCAAGGGGAAGACCTCGTGGAACCTGGAGTACAGAAAAGTGGGAAGACGTGGAGTGACATCAAGCGACTAGCCCAGGATAGGGAAAGTTGGAGAGTGTTTGTTCGTGGCCTATATCCTGTTTCAGGATGAGAAAGGCAATGATGATGACAACAATGCCCGTTCTCCAATGAGAGTGGACCTTTTGCAGACGTCGCCAATCGCAAGAAGTCCCTGTTAAAAAATAAGGGAATAAAAATGCGGCCACCCCCTCCCTGGCTCCCCTTTCCTGTTTTCCTCATGTTAAGACATTTACACATGACATTTATTCATACTTCGATACATGAACCTATAATCGAATAAAAATATGATAAGAAAGCTATATAATGACCTGCTTTGAGGAGTTAGAACGTTTAGGGATTCATTTCGTTCGTATGTTAACATTTCATGGTGAATAAGATTTTAAATTGCAGGGGAAAATGATTATGAGAAAATCACACACACACACACACACACACACACACACACACACACGGAAACATGCCACAGTTTGTCACAGGCCTCGACTGTGCCCAGCATGATGGAAGCTGCTCTCGAAAAGAGTAAATCTAAATGAACGATCGATTGATTGTATGAACTGAATTTTATTTTTCAATTGTTTTTAACGGAAAAACATGCATTGTTGAAGTCTTACAGAGTAATTTGCTTGGATTTGCACACAAAAAAGGAAGAAGTAATAAATTATTGTACTGTTCTGTAGCTTCGTTCGTTAAAGTCAAGAGTAGGGGGGTTTAGGGGGGCCCCTGACCTAATTTAAAAAATGGAGGGGTGGGGGGGGGGGGGGATTCATCATAATTTGATGTTATGCAAATAGGTTGCATCCATTTTCTTTGTGTCGCCTATTTGGTCATCAAGACTTCTGGATGTCTTCTCTGGATGTAAACAAATGAATCGTGGCGTGGACTTGAACGAAGGGAAAGTTCTACATCTAGCCTACAAGATCACCCACAATCTGAATTGAGAGGGACTACACCACCTATTTGAAGTTAGGAAATGAAAAACTTAATTTACAACTAGATCTAGATCTAGATCTAGATTTGCAGTGTTAAAGTGCTGTAAGTATGACTGTCATCAATACTCAAATATACTTAAATGAAATTGTGACAAACTGGGCGCCCCCCCTCACACACACACACACACACAGTTTCGTTTTTGTAAACTTTGTTTCTTCGCGGTTCCAGTGCACCTTTTAGATGAAATGTATACAATATGGCGTCCAGGATGGTAAGGACGTTCAAGTTTCCCAATTTAATGGTAAGTTCTTGTAACCGCTTCTCATCTGGCTTTTTCCATACCAGAGCATCGGTTGCTTTGTCTCCTCATCTCTAAAATAGGAAGTCCTCCCCTAAAATAGATTATTTGGCAACTCCAGTACTGGCCCAAGCTCAAAGAGTATTGAAATACGCTTCCGATTGAAATATCGACGAAAACTTGAATTGGAAGTGAGTCTCACCTGTCACCAGGGGCAGGGGTGAGAGAATAGCCTGTGTCTCATCGATCTAATATAATCTAGAATCTAGATCTAGATCTAGATCTATAGATTCTAGGCCTAGATCTATAATTTTCCCCCTTCAGTCTTCAGGTGTGCTACATACAGCCTACAGTAGGCCTCTATATCCTCTATACTCTATGGTAGTGTCAATTGCCACTGAGTGACGTGGTGGCAATTGACAAAAATTGACTTTTTGTCAATTGCCACCGAGTAAATTGGATCTCTTTTGCGACGGTGGGTAGATCTAGCTTATTGTGCTGGCCACCTCTATTCTCACCCGGAGTGAGAATAGTGCAGAGTGCAGGCGAGTCTTGTGGCTATTCTCACCCGGTGCGCGTTCACCAAATTTTGCGTTCACCCTAAAACACAGAATTCTACACTGTGATAACAGAAAAATTGTAGAATTCTGTGCCGTGAACAAACGTTCCATTACAACTGTAGCCTACTAAAAGCGTACAATTTTGTCTGTGGGCCACTCTAGACTAGTCATCCAATGAAATTAGTTGAGAACAAATTGACCCATTAGACACACATTATGTATAAATGCTAAAGATAGTGTTGTTTTCAGACTTGACACCACTTCACTCGGTGGCAATTGACAAAAAGTCAATTTTTGTCAATTGCCACTGCGTCACTCGGTGGCAATTGACGCTACCTAGCCTAAAAGTGTGCAATTTTGTCGTGGGCAGTGGAGAGAAAGAAAGAGAGAGAGAGAGGAGTAGCGCGAGAACTTCCGGGCAAAACAAAATGGCGACCCGCGTAGTTCGGCTCGATTCGGAAAGTTAAATAGCCGTAGCATCTTTGTAGACAACCAAATTAATTTAGTTTTCTTGTTTAAAATCATTTTTTTCACTTTGTTTTGGTCAATTTGATTGTCAACACCGATAGACAGTATTCAGAAAGAGACAGAGAGAGGGGAGGAGTAGATCTTGCGAGAACTTCCAAGCAAAACAAAATGGCGACCTGCGTAGTTCGGCTCGATTCGAAAAGTGAAATAGCCATAGCATCTTTGAAGACGATCAAATTAGCTTACTTTTGTGCTATAACGTAACTTTTTCTTGACTTTTATCAATTTGATCATCCACACCGATAGACAGTATTCCAAAACGGAGTGCTTATTGGCCCACAGGGGCATATGATTTCCCCCAGAACATTTCTTATTTGCCCACAAAATTGCGAGTTATCTCCCCTGTATTTCGCCCCCCCCCAATCCACAAAGTCCGTCAGTCATAATTTTAACGAAGTGACTATTTCTCCCAACGTTCGGAGAAATAGTGCCGATCTTTATTTCTCCGAACGGTTTTCGGCTTCCGGTCTCGTGATTTTTTGCCTATTTATTGCGAGAGTTCGGCGCCAACTTTCATTCTGCCTCTGGTCTGGGAAGGAACACGTACCGCATGGCAAGCCCGCCTACAGACAACCTTCAGTAACACCCACCACACACCCACCACCATCATGCACATGTACACACACTAACTAAACATAACTAGTGGGCAACTTTTGAACGTATGACGAGCTGAACTGTGGATGGAGAGACAGTGTGAGTGAAAGAGCGGGTGAAAGGAAGAATGTGCGAGTGTATCCACAGGCGACAGCAACTACAAGACGACGACACTGGCCACCCCTGGCCTGGTCCACAGCTCACGAACAAAAGGAATGCAGCTCAGGCGGTGTTTTGTCTATATTATTGTCCATGGTTCGCAGGGAACAAGTGAGATTTTCTTTGTGTGTGCCTGGAGGGATGGGGTGGGGTATGAAAGTCATGCGGACGGGGATGAGCCGCGGGAGAGAACACGGGAATTGAATGAAAGAGTGAAACTGAAAGAGACGAATGACTCATGAGTCCTGGAGTGAATGGATCCTGTGTTTCTATTTTTGTATACTTTGAACTGTTACTGAATAAAGGCTGAAATAAAGCCCGAAAAACAAACAAACACACACACACACACTCCTCACTCTCCACTTACTACCACACACAGACACACTCAAACACTCACACATACACACACACACACACACACACACACACACACACACACACAGGAGCAAATTTTTGGGTCTATATCTATTTCAATTTTCAACAGCTAGTCTAGATGAGATTTTTAGATGAGTGTAAAAACGTGAAAAAAGAAAGGTTTCACAACAGAAAGAAATCAAAATTAGAACAGCCCATAAACAACAACAAACATTAACAAATAAGGGCGTGTGTCCACCTGTCTGAAGAAGATTGGCAGTTTTAACCCTAAATGTGCGTAATTTTAAAAAAAGTACAGGATATTACATGTAAATTATGGAATCACACACATTAAGGGGCTTGCCAGTGTCAGTACATTGGTCGCAGCAGTGACAAACGCAGATGCCAGTTCTATGTGTGTCGTTATCAATAACCCTCCGTAGATCTAGATCTAGACAGCACACGAGTGAACACAACACATTACGTTTAAAAGCAGCACCTTTCATAGGCAACACGTCATATCTATAGCGAAAAACTGTTTGGAATTGTAGCATTTCTTAATATAAATATTTACGGCGGACATTTTTTGGACCGATTGAACCATATTGTATACGAACAATCTTTGGTAGGCCCATACTATAAAATTATAGATCTATATAATATCCGAAATTTGGGGGAAAGGATGATATTTCAGAGTGTTCGGAGAAATAGTGCCCAGCTTTATTTTCCTGAACGTTCGGAGAAATAGTGCCCAGCTTTATTTTCCCGAACGTTCGGAGAAATAGTGCCCAGCTTTATTTTCCCGAACGTTCGGAGAAATAGTGCCGGCCTAATTTTAAATTGAGAATGTATAGATCTAGATTCTAGTATAGAGTTTTCCAATCTAATGCTAAAAATAAAAAGATGAACAATAGAGTCTAAGAAGTTACACATCTTCATCTTGTTGTCAAACACAGTTTACATGATGAGTAAACTAAGAAATAACTCAATTGTACTGTAATATATATATTGTTTGCCGAAAGAAGCAAGCATCCGGAGAACCTAAATTCTAAATGAAATACTGTTCGCAGACAATCAAAGTCTACTGTGCACATAACATTACAATAACACTGAACTGCAGGAACACCGCTGACAAACAATCAAATCTGTAGAAATGTGTGCGAGATGGAATGCCTCAGGAAAACATTAACAAGAAGGGATTAAGTGAGAAAAAATTAAAGAGAACAAGTTTGGACAACACCACATATGAAATACATTGAAAAAACAACGCATTAAATGGCCCATGTGGGCCAATAAGCCCCAGCTTATTTGCCCATGTGGGCCAATAAGAGCAGCCATTCCAAAATGAGGAAAAACAGGTCTTGTTGCACACTGGGTGAGAATAGCCTACGCTGGCAAGTCTCACCCGGGGTGAGAGGTAGATCGTATTTCTATTCTCACCCCGGGTGAGAATAGCCACGTCCATAGCACAGACACACACAGAACAGCACAGAGAATAAACTTCTTTTATTAACTCTTATCCTGCGTCTTTGCCCAGATGCGTGTATCTTATCAGCAACTAATTACGTCGGACGTGCCGGGCAGGCCGCCGGGGTCACTCAGTGTGTACTGTTGGTGTACAGCGCGCGCGCCGGGATACGTGTGTTTTCGCCATGAATACTGCGGGAGTGTGTTAATCGATGATGAAAATAACGCTCTATCTTTCATAGTTTTCTATTTATAAAGTGTTACAAACACATGAATAACCCCCTCTCACAAGCTGATAAGACATACGATTAGTTACGCCCATTCGAATAACCTTTCTGTTCTCGACGTGCTTGTTGTTTTACACTCAGATTGTTCTTTGTACCTGCACAATGGTATTCAAAACTATCAAACAAGCTTATTTTTTTATCAGGTAGTATCATTTCATACAAAATCAAGCTCATTTGAAATATTTGGTATAGAAAAATGGAAGTCTTGTTTCCTGAATACTATCCTTTCGAGCTCCTCATGTCTAAGTGGGTCAATTTTTTCAATAATTTCATTGGACGAACATCTAGAGCTACCAACTTGGCATGTTTTTAATGAGACGTATGCCTCGATTACGAACCAACGCAGGCGGTTCTAGAAGAAGGCCTCAAATGCACACAAACTCAAGCAGACTGACGCACACACACTTGACCTGCGTGAATGGGGATCCGACTCGGGACCCGAATGACACGTAAGAGGATGCGCGTGCGCTGAGCCAGGGGCTACACTGATTCGGGACCAGAACGCAGGCGAGGTGCCGAAATAGGCTTATCGGGCTACATAAACCCGGCTCCCGCAGGATGAGGGTTAAGTTGTAGAGAGAGCAGAGAGGTTTCAGGTTTAGTTTATTTAACCCTAGAAGCGCTCAGCGATTCACCGGAAGTAACCCACCAAAAATGCCCCGCCGCCACGGCCGATCAGTTGTAAACATGGGGGTTTGGTGGGGTGGAAACAGCTGAGATACCCGAAATGTATACCTGCTACTGAAAAGTGACCATTTACGGCTCAACGGATGATAAAAAGCATATAAAAGCATATATTTTCTTTAAGCTGATAGAATGAGCCATTAAAAAATGATCAGCGATCAAATAAATACAAACAAAGACGAGAACGCGATAGACTCAACAATTAGTACATCAGCATGGCGAAACAAGTGATAACATATATAGCGTGTAGTCGCTCAGCGGGACCGCGTCACTTTATCGGTCGATATCTCGGCCAAGAGACGCTCTACAAGGTCAAGATAACTTGCAAAGTCATTGGTCACTATTTATAACTTTGGCCTGTAATTGACTA